GGACAGCAGGGCGGGGAGCGGGGAGGGAGGGGGGCCCGCTCCTGCCCCGATAGCCCACCCGCCACGGGAAGCGCCGTCCCCTTCCCTCTACCTGCGGTGGGTCCCCGCGGGTTCTCAGGCTCGGCTGGGAACAAGCCGGTATCTCGGAAAGGCCGGGTAAAGCGCGGCGGAGGGTTCACTGGGGAAGCAGGCTGGAGCCATCGGTAGGTCTGGGTTGTCCTGTGATCGAAGTCATCATCCCCTGGCGGAGCGTGGGCTCTGGTTACCGGGATAACAGCTGGGTGCGAGCCGGACTCCTCCTACGGCCCTGCCAGGCTCTGCCCGGGCCGGGCGCCCCCCTGCTTAAATTAACGGCGCTTGGGATGGAAGCGGCGGCATCCCCGTGAATTTTAGGAGAGGGACTGACCAGACAAGGTCAGATCTCCGTGCAAAGAGAGCGGGAGGTTTCAAACGCAGGATCTAAGTCAAACTTAAGATGCTGTTTCCAGAGGGCTGCGTTGAGCAGAGATAGCTGGGACCTTGGGTTTGTTTTGTCCTAAGGAAGCCCCCTCCCAAGTCGGCTCCCTTTTCTCAGCACAGTTCGTGATGGCCCCGAGGAGCAGAGGGATGGTCTCTGCAGCAGAGACCCTGAACTCTTTGTGTGAGTTAAGGGACGCTTTGAAATTGTTTGGGGTATAGAAAAGGTGGTGGCGCTTGCTTTCCCACAACAGACACGTATTCTGACCTCTTCCTGCTTTTCTAGCCTCCGCCGGCCTGACTGAAGAGCAGAAGGAATTCCAAAAAGTTGCCCTTGATTTTGCTTCCAAGGAGATGGCTCCTCACATGGCTGAGTGGGATGAAAAGGTATGACAGCCTCGGAAGGGCTGTACCGCTCACCTTTTCCTCCCTTAGGGCATTCTGATCCTTGGGTCTCATCAGAGGGGTTCCTGCAACAGCCCCTGGGTGCTGTCATGCCATCTGTAGTGATTTTCTTTGAAGCTGCTGCTGTAGCTGGGGTGGGAAGCCATCAGGAATTCCTTAAAGCTTTCCTATTCAGTCACCTGAAAACCTGAATTTACTCCAGAAGATGGTATATATCTGTCTTAGTAGCTGGCTCTTCTTTAACCCGATTAACTTAAACTCTGCAGGACTTTGGGACTGGAAATTAAATTCTGCAGGAGTTTGAGACTAGACCAGAGAAAACATTGAGATGGAACATTGAGCTTGAATTGACCATGAATATTCACTTCTGATGTCTCTGCCTGTCCCAATAGGAAATATTCCCTGTGGAAACAATGCGGAAGGCAGCCCAGTTAGGATTCGGTGGGATCTATGTGAAACCAGACGTCGGTGGCTCTGGATTGTCGCGACTTGATACCTCCATAATCTTTGAAGCTTTATCAACAGGATGTACTAGCACCACTGCTTATATGAGCATCCACAAGTGAGTGTGTCTGGGGAGCGGTGGATGGTGTTGGCCTGGCTGAAGAACATTTCTGTGGGCTCTAAGTCCAGCTGGAAACAGCTCCCTTGGAGCTGCTTATTAGTTAAAGTTGGGACCCCAAGCAGACACATCTCCGTGGGGATCTCTTGATGACAGTGAGCAAATGGGTTACAAAAACTGAGATGCCATCAAGAAGTAACTTTAGCTTTGTGGCATGCAAGGTGGGATTAAGTTCTGGATTTTGTTCCCTGCTCTTCCACTTAAGCTGTCTATAGATAGTAACCTGCCTGGAAAAAGCCTTTGTGCTTTGGTCGTACTGTGACAGAGCCCAGAGGCGCCAGCTGATGCTGGTGCCCTGTCCTGCTGGATAGGCATGTTCGGTGACAGCTCCCTTCGCTGCAGTGACGATGCCTCCTTCTTCCAGGGGCAGTTTTCTGAAGAGACAGCAGGGCTTAGCGCTGAGGGGAGCGCCATGGCTATTAAATAGGGACCTGCTGTCCCCTGAGGCAGCGAGTCTGTGGTGAATGGAAGGCGATCTTCTTCCTCCTGGCTTCGCTGGCACTTAATTTTGTTCTGTTTTGAGGTGGAGCAGGCTTTCAAGACTTGGTGCTTTTGGCTGAACCCCACGGAACTTTGTTCTTCTGTTCAGCCAGGGATGCTCTGGTATGAGCCGCCTTCCTGTTCACTTCTGTAACGCTGCTCCTTCTCTCCTGCTCCAGCATGTGTGTTTGGATGATTGACACCTTTGGCAATGAGGAACAGAGGCGCAGGTTCTGCCCATCGCTCTGTAGCATGGAAAAATTTGCTTCTTACTGCCTGACTGAGCCGGGTGAGCCTCCTCAACCAAGAAATCTCCTCCCTTCCCTCACTCCTAGCATGGTTTAACTGGACATTGCACAGAGGCGGAGGTGAAAAGTTTCTTTTCGTGTTCCTTTGGGCAATCACCAGGAAGTTGGGAAGGGGCAGGTGATGATTGCTGAGATGCTCATGGTACAAACCCGAGTGTCATTCGGGTAGGATCCCTGGGAGAGTTTGGACCTGCTGCTTCACTGGCTTCTTCCTCACCTCTCCAACAGGGAGTGGAAGTGATGCAGCTTCCCTGCTGACCTCAGCTCAGAGGAAAGGGGACACCTACGTCCTGAACGGCTCCAAGGTACCTCTTTGCTCCTCCTAAAGCTGCTGGATGGCACTGCACATGCAAGGGGCCCTGGCTCGCACCGTCCTTTCCATTTCCTACTGCTCTGTGTATCTCCCAAGGTGGAACATACTCTGCAGAGCATTCACCAGCACTTAGCACGGTTGGGTCCCTAAATACCTCCTGGCCGTGGGGTCTTTTCACCTCCATCTCTGTACCCCAGCTGCTGCTGCAGGCTCAGGGTTAGTGTACAAAAGCCACCCCTTTCTTCTTGTGCCCTTCTGCAGGCCTTCATCAGTGGTGGAGGTGACACGGACATCTACGTGGTCATGTGTCGCACAGGAGGCCCAGGCCCCAAGGGCATCTCCTGCCTGGTGCTGGAGAAGGGGACACCAGGGCTCAGCTTTGGCAAGAAAGAGAAGAAGGTAAGAGGCTTGGTTTTTGTTCTGTATGTGCTTGACGGAAGTGCAGGACAGAGATGAGCTCATCTGTGCAAAGCATTAGGGATCTCTTTTAGGGTGGGACCGGAGTCCCGGCTTGGTGTGTTTTTTCCAAGCCAGGTCCAGCTTTGGTGAAGTTTGGACAATACCTGTCCCTGTGGTTAAGTGAAGGATTTTAATCTGGGGGACATCAAGGTTCATTGGATCTGCATCTCTTCTCAAATACCTGCATTCCAGTTTCCAACTCAGCAAACCATGTAGGCCACAGGCACTCTGCAGCAGCTTGGGAATGAAACCAAGGGGTTGAGAGTGGGCTGGGCAGCTCTGGGCCAGGAGCTGGAGGTGTGCTGTGCCTCAGGCAGCCTGGAAAGTGCTCTGCTTTTCCCCAGGTGGGCTGGAATTCCCAGCCGACTCGGGCTGTGATCTTTGAGGACTGCGTGGTTCCTGTTGGCAACCGGCTGGGCACCGAAGGGCAGGGCTTCAGCATTGCCATGAAGGGGCTGAATGGAGGCAGAATAAACATTGGTAAGAAAGGCACCGGGGAGCCGAGGGAGGAGGGCAGGATCGTGTTGTTGCCCATATCCATTAGCTTGATGTTCACTCTGTGTCCTTGTCTTCTCCTGCCAGCTTCTTGTTCATTAGGAGCTGCTCATGCCTCTGTTCTTCTGGCTCAGGAACATCTCACTGTCCGGAAACAGTTTGGGGAACCACTAGCAAACAATCAGGTAACCTCTCCATCAGACCTGTGCTCCCAGAGCTGTGCTCTTTCTGATCCTGGCTGAACAAGCAGCCAGAGGTCCCATTGCTCCGCAGGGTCTTCCCTGGAGTGGGCAGGGACAGGCTTTTCCCAAGGAAGGAAGCGTGTCAGGCCTGAGACCCGCCTGAGGGCAGTGGGCATGTGGTTGAGGCCCCTCCGAAGGCGCTGACCTCATTTTCCCCCTGGCGCTGCCCACTGGCAGTACCTGCAGTTCCGGCTGGCGGAGATGGCGACGCGCCTGGTGGCAGCACGGCTCATGGTTCGCAACGCGGCGCGAGCACTGCAGGACGGACGGGAGGACGCGGCCGTGCTCTGCTCCATGGCCAAGCTCTTTGCTACTGATGAATGCTTTGCGGTAGGTTACTCAAACCTCAGGTGATGTCGTTAACTAGAAGCTTGGAGACCCCCCTCAATGGTGCTCAGGATGTCAGAAAGATGTTTGACGCTGTAGGGACCCAGACACAAGCACATTCACTGAGCCAGAAGCCTCATCTCAGGACCAGGATGTTTTACAAGACAGAATTCTGCACCCTGTGGAGGCTGCAGGATGAGCCTCTCCACAGTTCGGGCTTCCTGGCTTCTAGTGCTTTCAACACTGCTTTCTAGGGGACCAGGCAGGGAGATGGGACAGGGAGCAGAGCGTCTCTATTCTCAAAGGATGAGATGCATGTTGTAGGCTGATCACTGCTAGGTAGCAAGTGGTCTTTCCCAGACCACTGAAAAATACATTATCACAAAATGTCCCTGAAAAGAGAATGCAAGAAGGGAGAAAAAGAAAAAGGAAATCTGCACCTTGACGCTTCCCAGATCAGTGTGATTTAGGAGCTACCCTATTTTCTCAGCACTCTGCATTTTTGCTGTTTGTAATGTTTTATGTCCCAAGTTGACAGAAAAGGAGTCACGTTTCAATAGAAACCAGAGCCCTGAGCAGACTCCTCACCTGACTGACCACTAGATGGGGATCTGCCGTTTTTCTTTTTGCATCAGTAGCACCATAGAAATGCAGCAAAAATTGCCTCAGTTAAGCGTTTCCGAGGTATTTCCATGCTGTCACGTTCACATAAATGCACCGTTACTGTGAAACAGCACTTAGGTAACATGATAGCACTGAGAGCAGCACTGATGGGGACTGAGAACACCCTGCTGTCACACCAGGCTTTAAGAGATGAGATTAGGTGACCAGAAAAAAAAACAACCAACAAACCAACAGCTCAGGTTCCTGGGTTCATAGTGAGCTCCGGTGGCTGACTTGTCCTTGGCACCACGCGAGTCACTTCATCAGCGATGCTGTCTTCTTAGGTCTGTAACCAGGCTCTACAGATGCACGGGGGCTACGGCTACCTGAAGGATTATGCTGTGCAGCAGTTTGTACGAGACATCAGAGTCCACCAGATCCTTGAAGGTAAAAGACACGCTTACTACCAGTGACTTGGCAGTGAAGCCAGGAGAGAACAGCCCCTCCAGAGGCCCCCGCCTGCCTGCACAACTGATTCTTGGGTTTCAGAGCATGCTCTGAGCATGAGGTGTCCATGGATGTCATGTGTGCAAATCCTCTGGCTAAGAGCTCTTGGGGGCCTGGTGCAGTTACTGTATATTTTAAGAGTCTTACAGCAGGGAGAGGTATCTAGTTGTCATGTTAGCGGTGCCTCTGCCCACTTTCTCATCCTGATACTCCTACAGACATGTGCTGGCACTTCCCAACAATTGCTTTTCTGGGATTCCAGCCTATCGTCATTCTTTTGATGTTGTGTCTCTAACAGTGTCTTGGCCTTTTTGAATCTCAGTCCAGTCTCCTAACCGTTTTGTTTTCCCTTCTTTGAAATCCCTTCACCTACAACCAGGGGACCTAAGGGACGTGCTCTTTCCAGTACCGGGTGGGCCTACAGCCTGTCTTTCTGTATTATGTATTAAATAGTAAAGCAGAGAACTCAAGATGTGTATATCCAGTTTTGCTTGGTGCCTGGTGGCCACATCCTCTCGATGCCCCAATAAAAAGAAGCACCAGTATCTCCCACTCTGAAGCCTTTGTCAAGCAATGTGCTAGCACTTGGCAGTTGTATTTTGGCCCAGCACCTCCTAAACGCCACCTCAGTTGGTGGGAAGAGCTTTTCTGTGCTGTAGACTGCAGATCAGGGAAGAATTCTCTTAGCCTATACTGGGGGTAAAATTGGACCATCTCTTAACTATCTTTTGCACCCTTCTGCTGCAGGTACCAATGAGGTGATGCGGATGATTGTGGCCAGGAATCTGCTACAGGGCTGAAGCCAGGAGCTAATCTCCAGCCTTAAATCACTTCGCCTGTTACAGCTTTCCCTCCCCTGTTCACCAACTCTCCCAGGGAGTGGTGAAGGGGGATACCCCAGTGGAAACAGTCTTTCTGCCTTATTTTGTCCAGGAGCACAGCTGGATGCCACCCACATGCTGCCACAGCTGCACTCTGTGCCTGGCAGAGCTGCAGTTTAGTATTGTGCAGCCTGAAGATGGAAATCAGTTATAAATACGAGCCTCTCGTCTCTAAATCTTAAGGATGGATGCTAAGCAGCCCATGATCTTTGGAAAGAGAAACACTAGATCTGTTGGTGATCTCTGCTGAATTAGGACTGAAATAGGAATTCAGGCAGAGGTGCAGCCTGATCCCAACGGGACTCATCCTCTAGCAGGGAAATCTTTATGTCGAGGGAATTAGTTGCTCTGCTTAAAAACCTGCCCTGGGTGCAGACTGCACCCCTGGACACAAGTGGGCCACAAGCACCACAGCTCCGACCACCTGCAGAGTGCAATGGCTTTTTAACTGAGGAGCAGGATGCCTCTCATTTATCTAGAAGCACTCCTCTTCCTCTTTTCCCAGCACACCTTTTTTAACAAACCAACAGCTGCCTGTTCTCCCTATTCCCGGCACGTACTGGTGCTTAATCTCAAAGAAGCCTTTGCATTACGAAGGTACAAATCAAGGAGCTAAAATCCTGCACAGAAATATTTAACTCTGTTGCCTTGAATCAGTACACCCTGTGTACAATGTAGGGGAAGTAAAAACTGGTAAATTCCATTCTTTTTTTTTCTTTCCTCTCAGATTTGGAATCAATAAAGCAATGATGGCAACTCTAGAGAGTGTCAGAGTTGTGATTGCTTGGACTCGATGATCCCGAGGGTCTTTTCCAACCTGAATGATTCTGTGATTCTAATTTTCTTCGGGTATTTAACCAGAGAAGCTTTCTGAAGCAGGGGATTGCAAAAAAGTTCGGTTTCTGAGGTGTTTTTAACTCACAGCGTCTCTGTTAACCTCTCCGAACGACCCAGCTCCTCGTTTCTCCCAGTACAGGGCGGGGAACGGAGAGGACGGAGCGTGAGCGGCAGACGAAGGTGTTTTTCGATCTCGGGCTGGGCGAGGCGGCAGGAGGGCACCGGCAGGCCCTGAGGTCAGCTCCCGGCAGCAGGGGGCGGGTTAACCCCCAGCTCCCGCCTCGGGCGGGGCAGACGCCGTCCCTCAGGGCAGGGCGGGAG